TCTTTTGATCAGAACTCAAGGAACAGTGCATGTTTAATGGGTTTCAAGCTGATTACTTTGTGTGTGGTGTTATGTTGGGACAAATGGCAGGAGTTGTGGAGAGGACTGAACCACATTTAGTGTGGATCAAATCCATGTATCAGTTCTCAAAGAGATTCTAGTCTCTTGAGCTGTCTAAATGACCATTGCTCAAAGAATGGATTCCTGGATTCTCTGGTTCACATATGCCAACACATGCTGTGAATTAGTAGGGCTTGGGACATACAGATAGTGCATGAATGGACCCTTGGACCATATTTCTGAAGGATGCATAAACTGAATCATTCAAATAGTTTTTTACTACAGGTAAATTGATGGTGTGATTGAGCATTATAATGGACCTCTCTCAACTTGTATTGACATCTGCAAATGCCAAACCTGATTTGAACCTGATAACATTTATTCCAAAGCTTTCGAGAAACTGAGTGGACAATTGTACTCCAAATATGGCCTTTTGAGGGTCTTCCGAATCCAATGGATTGACAACCAAACATATTTATCAAATTTCCAAGTCTTCAAGGCTTCTGGACTCCAAGTGGTCAATTGTATTTGGAAAATCATTGTCCCTGCAAGACCCATTACTAGGTTGGTAAGTTTGGTTGACTTGGAATGTTTCAAGTGCAAATGAGTCATGCAGGGTATTCACAATGATTACTGCAACTAGATAACATGGCTACAAAATACATTAAAAGCAGTCAAAAACCATGATACAATGGCACTCACTGCAGCAACAATATATAGACTAATGACAAGCTTTACAACACCGGTGACCCAAACGTTGACAGAGAGATATGTATTCAATAGCAGGATGATGATGTAGACAGCTTGTATCACACAATATATAGTGCCAGATTCAACTAATAAAAGTAGAATATTCTCAACCCCACTTCTTTTGTGAATTGCGGCCTCTGCCATAAGACAGTGATAATTCCTAATGAAAAAGCAGGTTTAAGAGTTGAATAACGGCACACAAATGATAGACTACTGACCATGCCTTCCATGCAATTGAACCTGTTGCGAAAATGTTGACAACCAAAGAAATCACGCCTGATAACCAATCCAGAACTGTGGTAGCACCAGATTCAAATGTTTTGACTTCAGTGTCTTCCAAAATACAATCTGCAATGTTGATTCCTAGATAAGGTCAAGCTACAAGTTGAGTTATATCTGCTTAGGAATAATATTCTCTCACCAATATTGACAATCATTAGGAAAGCAAGTGTAAGCTTCAAAAGGTGGGCTTGGGGAAACAAAACATATGCTCTCCAAACTACAATAAAATCACTCAAGACCACCTGGAATACATAATCTAGCTATCAGGCTAGAAATGAATATAGTAAAACGCACAGAAATTGTTAGTGCCCACGATGGTGTATACCCGAGTGGTAAAGTTCTTTCATCCACCAAGCGGACTTGAGCTTCAAATCCTCCTTGATCTTCTTGCTTCGGTTGAACAAAAAGAAGCTGGGTATACACCAAGTTAAATGCCTCAAGATAAAAGACATGATAGGTGAAGGCAATCAACGTCGTAATCAAGCATATGGTGAGTAAAATTCTTGAGCGGGTCCAGGGCCTGCCTCTGTCAATAAACCAAAAAGATCCACAATGTAAATCGAGAGTCAGAAAATAATTCCGGGCATTCATATGACATACACCAGGGATCTAGTAGCAATGAATAATCCTGCAATGAAGGCACCTAAATAAGTAGAAATTGAAAGGAGCATCGTTAGCTTAAACAAAATGGGGAGAAGTTAAACACTATTATCACATGTACCATATCCGGCTACTTCCACTATTGTATTTACGCTGTTGTGGTAGATGTCGCTTGCATAGGAGGCAATCATTCGCTGCTCTTCCGGAGTCATGAGAACAGTAGGAGGTGCCCTGTATGGTCATCGTTGCAGGCTTTTTATATCATGGTCTCATCTTGAGAAGACCAGCTTATGGTCATATCGATCATCTTCTGTTGGTTGGTACGTTCTGATATCTACTCACATTATTATCTCCTGTTGTTAGGGTTTTTACATTATAACTTCGGCGTGTTTCCAGTTTGATTGCATAGGCTGTCTGGTCACCAAGGCCCCAATGGGTCGTTGTCGTCGCTTAACAAGAAAGCTGAGTAGAAAACTTGGGAAAGTGAAAGTGAGCTTTGCGGGGAAGGTAGACCTCTCCCGCTTCTAAAGGGGCAGGAAACCGTAGAATGATTGAGCTTTGTTCAAGTTACTCGATTCGTAGTGCGACAATTGTAAGTAGAGCGTGCGCCAATCGCTAGATATTCAGCTCGTAAGCCCAGATCGCTGCTCAGAATTATCTCCGTGGCAAGAGCTTCAGGCTGAAAAAACTCATGTATAATACGGGGTATAACGAGTTGATAATTGGATGCTTGCAAAGACGCAAGATGAGTAGAAAGACTGCGGAGCAAGCAGAAACTGGAGGAACGTGGATACGGTACAGAGAAGAAACAAACGGTCTGGTAATACCCAAATAAACTGCCGCCTTGGAGGACAGAACATTGGAAGAAAGGGATTTTGTCTCAAACTCAAGGTTACTGTTTTTTCTGCCGCTGAAGTGAGTGTCAGAATAACTTTTTGAATCTTCAATCTGCAGAACGCTGTGATGGACGTGATGTAAGTTAGCACTCTGATTTTAGCCGCCATGGATACACAGTCGGTAAGTTCTTAGCTCAATCCCAGAATGGAATAAAACTTACCATTACCGAGCCCTTTCTCAGAGTGCAGCGGTACGTATCCCGCAAATTTTCATTGTTTTCGGTTGCATCTAACAAGTCAAAACCCACGATTAGCTCGTGCAATACGGATTTGTCACATTTCTATCAGAGTGCATATACCAGTGCCCAACGAGTCCCCAGGAAAACAGTCAGTAGTGAAATCCATGCTCTTGATTTTATTGAGGACCGATCAAACAGGAACATGTTCACTGGATTTATGTAACATCTTTCAACCATCACTGACCATATTACCTTACAGCTTCATGGAAGAATGGCACCAAAGTAAGGAGCTCTAGGGAGTCCTGGAGTCGGGTTCGTTCTTTCTATCTTGAACCCAGATATTGGTACAACTATCTGGGACCCTACCTTGACAGAAATCGGCTGAAATCGTCGCAAACGGAAGAAGTGGGCTGTCGTACACCTTCAAGCTCTTCCTCCAGTCAAAGGCAGATTAGAAACTTAGATAGATCACAATATCCCACTTCGCAATATGGCCAAATACTGAGTTCACAAACGAAAAACTGGAGAGAACTGGAGAAGAGGTTGTTTCGTAAATATTCCTATTAGGATTATCACGTCCTCAGCTTTGGCACCCTAGACGCTCTACGTGTGGTTTCGGTTACCAGCCACAACTTAGTTACGTTGTGATTGAACGGAGTTCTGAACCAGTTCGTGGACGAGAAGTAGGTTAAGATTCAAGCTGACCACCCTCGGCGGATAATGATTTGGAACCAGTGATACTTCCAACTAGATAGGCAACGACCTTGGAAGAGTTTTGCTATATTCGATTATACTCCGGTTCCGGGGAACTTGGTGGATTCTTCATGTCTCCGTCGCCGTCAAAAATTCTATTGCCATAGTAATTTCGAAGCAAGAATATATTGGGAACGAGGCAGTCTTACCTTCGGATTTGATAATCGGTGTCAAGAACGACGGCTTGTCAGCGACGTTTGACAATTTCTGAATCAAAGTCTTCGGCTAATACTTGTGCTAGTTTCTCGAAGAATTTTGACATTGAAATAGCTGCAGTTCGCAACAGATGACCGGTATGTATAATCGGTCTATATTGTCAAGAGGCGAGGCTCAAGGCACACAAGCTATCACTGACAGAGAGAATCGTTTCCAAACGGCCATCATCTCTCGAGGGATATTCCCAAGCCGTCGTTCTGGTAATGACCAACATTTGACTAAATGCAGTATGGGGTTCTTAGCGGAAACGCCTAAGCTCATCCGACGGCTACTGGACTTGCATGGAGGAGTAAAAAGATGGTAGCAACTGCATCCTCACTCACTCACTAGGCCTACAGCGGCCGAAGTTACACCAAGATAGGATCTCTACCGCTAGTCTACTTAACAGGCTAGAAGAGTATCCTAAAATAAAGGAATTATTGATTTCAACATGGACGAGAGGGCGGTGCCCTTGGTTATCACTGTTTGTTCTTTGCTTGCCAGATAGGTTAAGTAGCGGAGATGCAGATGATCTCCATGCAACGCAAGGATCAACGTAGGAAACTCTAGTTATCTAAGTTAGTTTATGATGCGTGGACACCTGAACACCCAACCGTAATCATTGTTTCTAGTTATGTAACCCAGAGTACAGGATAGGATATACTAACTGATGAAGTCCGATTCCCGAACAGCCAGTTTACCTATTGCTGTGTGTGTCGAAACGAAAAGCCGATTGCATATCCAGATTACCAGGTATGAGAATAATCACATGTACCGTGAGCTCTTGAATCTTTATCACATTTGCTCAATGCGTCGGACATGACGATTCGTTCAACATCTATCTATCCATGTAAGTGTAAGTACTCTGAACCAACTCAATGAACAGACTATGATATCCTCTTAAATCAGTAAGTAGCCCTTCTCTGAACCAGATCACCCGAGGATACGGTACTCATCTCAGTTCCGAGTCGCTCTCTTGGGCCCGATCCCCCTTGATCATCCAAGTTCTACTTCACTCCTCATAAGTATACCTTACTTCCGACTGTAGTCTTCATACTTAGCCTAGTACTCATAACTCATCTCATCGGGATTGTGATTAATTTGTGTGTCAAGTCTTTGTTAAGACTTGAGACTGAGGTAAGTATCTGAATGAGGACCAAATATCAAATATACAAAAAAAGCAAGAGAAAAAAACAAATCGAAAACAAACAAATATGTTTGAGTGACCAATATTGAAAAACGTTCAAGTAGAGAAATAAAAATTCCACCACAAGAAATCAATCATGGGCCTGACCGGGAATTGAACCCGGGACCTCGTCGAAAGAATCTTCAGCGCACCTTGCTCACCCTAACAACGAATCATACGCCTAGACCATCAGGCCACTGTCTAATTATAACTACACTTGAAAAAAAGCCGTACCACCGAATCCTGCAAAAGTGCATGTTCATGGACCAGCTGAGCTAGTACCAATAAGTACTCAAAAACCAGAGTACTCGGCTCAAACTTTGCTACAATTAAATTTTTAAGAGAAAAAAGTTAAATGGACCCGGACCGGGTTCTGGCATCCCATGTACAATACTTACTACAAACTCCAGAAATGCCAGATGAAGGTTGGGACCCGGTGAAGACCCAACTTGAACTTCCAGGGGATTAGCACTTTTAAGTTTGTTCAAATCCCCTCCTGGGCCTCCAGTACTAGTCATATCTCAAGGCCTCACGAAGCCATCTGACTTACGCACACACACACACACACAAGTTACAGGGCCTCAGTTAAATGAAATCTCAACACATGTCCCTTCATACCTACGATTATAGTTACCATTGATAAATCAGATATCAGATATCTGCACGATGACTGTATCCAAAAAAAAAAAACAGATTGAAATTTCCCGAAGTGAGGGAATACTCTCGGACGCGGGGTTATGCTATATCCAGCCGCTAGTCTCAGCCCAGAGTCTTGTTAATTGCTTATTCATAATCCAGAATTTTTTGTGAGTCCTCAGGCCTCAGGACCTGGACTACCTGCCCTCCTTGTATCTTCCCACTGCTTAGACACTCCAACCCCTGGATGGACTTTGTCGGCCTGATGGTCTAGGCGTATGATTCGTTGTTAGGGTGTAGAAGAAACTTCCTTTCGACGAGGTCCCGGGTTCAATTCCCGGTCAGGCCCTCCCAGTTTGAGTGGATGTTCTACTCTTTGAACTTTTTTATTCATACTTTCGGGCGACCATGTTGAACTGAGAACTTTCTCGTTCTAGCGATACGCAGATCCAACACTCTGTTCTTTGAACATTCGAATACAACTTGCTTTTTATTATACGACCTACAGTGTAAGCTAAAGTCCTCGGATTTACTAAATAACCCATACACTACTCTATTCTACAAAGTCCCTTGACATATAGTACATGTACGGAAAGAAGGACTCGAATGAACAAACTCGCCAAAGAACAGAACCATCTGCGCCAATTGGCACTTTTTCCCCTTATTTAATTTTCTGAGCGCTTCGTAAAACGCCACGAGTACGGCGCAGTCGACCTGGTCTTCACGTCCCTCCTGTCCGCACCCGGAGTGGCCTGGGGGCTGTCGGCGGACTGAGATTGCGAATCGGCGGCGGAAGGAGAAGCAGAGGTGGATGACGACGATGAAGAATCGATACCAGATGGAGCGGCGGAAAACGAAGAAGAGGAAACATCGGCGGCCGATATCGACGATGGAGAAGATGAGGAATCGTCTGCAGTCGATGACGGAGTAGGAGAAACTGTGTTGGACATTGCTGAGGCGGACGACGCAGAAGCAACGATGCTGGCAGCAACGACATCGGGGTCCACTGAACTCGACGGAGGATTGGCACCGTCAGCGCCGGAGGACGATGAAACAGAATCAGAATCAAAAACTTCAACCACTACCCCTGTAGTGGTAGGAGCAGGGGTTTGAGTAATGGTAGACGAGGCAGACTGCAGGGTTGAGGAAGGCGAGGAAGAAGTGACCGTAATGGTTGTCGTAACAGTCTCGGTAACGGCGCCAGCTCCGGGCTTTGAGCTCGTGGTATTGAACGAAGTTAAGTCCGAGTCGGTACCGGTCGCGTTGAAAGAGGCCGAGTTCAATTCAGGATCGGTCGTATTGTACGAAGAGGAATTCGAGTTGAATTCCTCTACTTCCAAGTCGTTCGATAGAGGCCTGAACATTAGACTAAAATTAGTGAGGGACGAGTTGGACGTCTGGTTAAAGTCCGTTGATGTGATCGATTCCGTATCGTCGTCACTGTCGTCGTCTGCTGGCCCATCGTCTGCATCGGGATCATCAACTGCCTGAGAAGCAACTGAACCTGTACAGTTTTCAAGCATGCTCAACTGTCCAGAAGTTCCGTTGTACAAAAAATTCTGGCATAACCCCGCCTGAGGACTGGAGGAAGGAGGCGACGCGAAGCAGCTTTGACAAGTGAAGGAACTCTCATCACCGTCTGCCCGGTATGTGAGGCAGCCACCTCCGGCAATGTTGTTACAAGTGAGGGTAACGATATCGGATCCGCAGTCCTGTAGATACAGAGCGGACGCCTGTTTCTCGGAGATGTCGTACGATCGAGAAGTTGCGTTCCAGAACAAGGAAGCGAGTCTTTTTCCGTCAGACTAGAGTAAAACAATTTAGCAAAGAGAAGCATAAAAGTAAAGTGGACTGACCATTACATCGGCGTATCCAGCAGTGGATGGACAGGCTCGGCGAGGATGAGGACGGGAGCGAGAAGGAGCACGACGGGAGTGTTCGTGGTCGTGATCGTGGTCGTGGTCATGGTCATGTTCGTGGTCATGTCCGTGCGAATGGTCATCGCGTTTGTGCGAGTGAGAATGCTCATGGATATGTTTTTCTTCCGTATGATGACGGCGGTGAGTAACATGCGCGTCCGAGTGAGAATGGCGAGTATGGAAAAACGCTTGCAACCCAGGTTTGGGTAACTCGACTTTGATTCCGTTGTTCTCCCCGGAAAAGAGCTCGATACGCTCTGAGCGACGTAACTCGGTGGGGATGCCCATCATGGCTTCATCCCTGCTCCAAGGGAAGTCTTGCTTGAGGTTACCACCTCGCTAGAGGCATATATGCGTCAAAAAGATATAAACAACAATGGCGAGATGTTCTTACCTTGTCGTGCTCGTGTTCGTCCGATTCCTTCTTCTTCTTTTTCTCCTCATCTTTTTTGCCCGATCCATGTTCGTCGTGCTTCTCCTCAGAGGGTGAAGACTTTGCCTTTGACTTTTCGGAGCGAGTAGGAAGCGGGAGTAGAGGGTCGCGAGTCGACTTGAGGTGCGTACCAGACGCAGCGGATGACGATGTGACATCAGGTCGCCTCGCCGAAATGGCGGCGGCGTCGACTGAGGAAGGGTTAATACCGATGGCGGCGAGGGAGAGAAGAGCGGCGAGAAGGGTGAATTGAGCGCTGAGGACAGCCATAATGAATATAATAAGGAAGAGTGAGAGGATAGAAATGTAACACGAAGCCTGCGTGAGTATAGAAATGTAAAGGAAAAGATCACCAGGATCGAGAGATGATGGAGGTTCTGGAGAAAGAAGTGAATTGGAAGGACTGGTGCTTATATAGCCTCGTAGAGTTTGGTTCAATGTTTGGCTGTCTGTCTGACAAATTTGGTCGATCGATAGACAAAACTGATATTTACAGCTTGGACATGCCCAATTGCCTTTTTTAGTTTAAGCGTCAAACAACTTGTTCGGGTGATTCAAGACCTAGAAGGTTCTTTATGACCCTTTAGAGTCTTAAGCAGACCTACATTCCATGGTACTCGTCGACTCTGTCCTCGTCGACGTCGCTGACGTCCAAAGACGTTCATACCAAACAAAACCAAACACCGGATAACTGTGCCGATAGCCGGCTTTCAACCTGCGCCGCACTTTGCACATTTCCATCCCGCCATGTACCGTCCTTCACGTCTTTCTCTGCCAAAAATTTATCGTCAGACACGATATAATAGCAGTATCAAAGTCAGGGGTTCTCATTTTCTTGAAATTTTCATTTTAGTTACCTTGGAACCGCAGGCACTTCGCGCAGCCTTTTCCGACCCCTCCTCTCCCTACTTTTTGCCTCCTGGAGCAACAGGTCCTGCTTCACCAGATGACGTCTCCCTCTCTAACAAATCAGACCGGGGCACAACGACTGAAACTCACGCTCAACCCACCAATGGCGATTCACCATTGTTTTTAGATTCATCAGCCTTTGCGGAACTACTCGAACGAGGCCGGGACAAACTCGTTCAGTATGGATTCCATCGGCCTTCCGTCTGGACACAAAACATAACCTGGGGTGATCAAGACTCGTTTCAGTCCGTCTCTTCCATTACATCAACTTACCAAATCCCTTCAACTAACCTGAACTCTATGTGGATAAAAACAGACATGTCAATAACGTTCAATACGGTGCGTATATACGTCTTTATCGCGAGATTTGATCGCAGATATGTTGTTCATTGACAACCTACTCACTTTACCCTACTCGAAACAACACCCTTTCCTTCAACAATTCACGTTTCGGCAAAATTCTCAATGTGTCGCGATCCATTCATTTCTTCTTTTGGATCATCTAGCTCGCTTCTTTGAATCGGTGCGCAAAACATTCTTCCTCTCAAACCTCCCCCCGAATTCAGCTCACTTACATACATCCTTTCTTTTTTCCTTCCGCTTCCCAACCTCGCCTCCTGTTCCGCCTCGGGGGTTCTTGGTGTTAATTATACCTGTCACCTTTCTATGTAATTCTTAGAGCCGCATTCGCTGGATGATGCTCCTAGGCCATCGTCTCGGAGGTTCCGCAAAGGCCGAAGCCCTACTCAAAGGACGCGGAATATCTTTAATCATCAAAGCTTTAGATATCAACTACCGTCGTCCAGTCACCTTTCCCGACACCGTAAGTATTCGCTCCACCTACTCTATGCTGGCTCCACAAGAATCCTTCTACTAACCATCGACCTATTTCTTTTCTTTTCCATTCCTGATCTCAACGACCTTCGATCCCGGTATCCCTTCCGCTGTTCCGACTCGAAAAACGCACAGCTCCTCATAGCACACAAACCAGTTCGCAGCCTCCAAAAACTCCACTCTCCCAGTCTAACCCCAAAATCGAACTCACCTTCGAGTTCAACTCCATCTCCATCCCATCCCGTTCCCGAATCCTACCCAAACGCCGCACCCAGCACTGCCCCCAATCCCACCTCCACTCCTTCTCCTTCCCCCTCTACCAATCCCCATCCCCCTCCCCACCCCAATCTCCATCCTAATCCTAATCTCCATCCTAATCCCGATCTCCCAACAACACCATCAACCACAACATCATCGCCATCGCCATCTTCATCTCCATCAACAACACTCCACCTCACCTCCTCAGCCTTCTCCGTAACTCAACAAGCCTTAGTCGCACACTGCCACGAAACCCTCGTTTGGTACGATTATGCGACATTGAAAAAGTGTGAGCCTGGAGAGGAATTGGATGAGTTTGTGCGTGCGACTTGGGAGGGGTATACTTGATATGGGGGTGAGAAAAAGTTGGGGGAGGCTGCAAAGGGGGGATGCAGCCGAGGGGAAGTGGGAAAGAGGGGGGAGAGGGGGGGCAGTGTCTCAGCGAGTAGGATTTTTTTTTTTTCGGGTTATGACTCGGAGCACGGTGGGATGAGTAGGAAGAGGGGCAAGGCGGGTGGAGGGGGGTCATACGAAGGGTGTTGGGCATGTACATACGTACTTAAGTAGGATCGTTTTACATCTATCAAGCTAGACAAGTTTCAAAATTGCAAAGGGCATAGATACATCGTATACGTGTTCGACGCAATGCATGCATGCGCATATACGACCAAGCTGTCTGACAGCTCTATGTACGTAGACCTCGAAGAAGCCAGACAGCGCTGAAACGCGCGAGCGTCGAAGATCGAATCTCATACCAAGTTTTAATTTTTCTCTCACTGAGTGCGGACCCGAAGGTAAATAATAAATAAAGACGATGATGTCCTAAATTTTGACATACATACATACCGGAACCTATTTATTTATTTAGTGACTCACACGATATCGATGTGCAGCCTCCTCATCGAGGGGATTTTTTAACGAATGAACGAACGGACAGACGGACGAGCCGAGACGTCGTCCGTTCATTGGCACAACAGAGGAAAGTGGTTAGATTTG